TTTAAATGGAATTGAGAATTTTTAAACATTTGCTATAAATCTCTCCTAATGCGCTTTATGGAAGAAAGATGAAGAAAGATGAAATTTGATGAAATTTTATTTCTAAAAAAATTTCAAATATAAATACGTTTTATTTAAAAAATGCTAACAACTAAATTATTGAAACAAATTATCACTTGTATACCTTAATTTGTTTATCGTATTTATATTATTCATTTTATTCATTTATTCAAAAAAAAAAACAAACAAACAAACAAATATAAATGCAATTCATTAAAATAGAATTTTTATTTTAAATTACAATTTACATGGGAGAACATTTCTTCAACAAGAGTACGTAGCAAAAATTGCAAGAACAATGTGATAGCACTTAAAATAATTAAAATACTGTAGTAAGTAATTGTTGGTGAATTCCAATCGGTGAATGTTTGCAACAATGATAACGGAAAATACATCATTTCGAAAAAACTGATTAATGCCATAAGAAGCTGAAATGAAATTATTATTCCATTTAATAATTGGCAGTGTTTTTTTTTTACAAATTTAATGATAATAAAGTCAAAATGCTGTATTATAATTATTGTAAGTTTATAAATTATCACTTCTTATTGCCAAAATTTTATGCAAATTGTGCGCAATACATCTGCTATTTTTTTTAATGATAAAAAATATTGCTTAATTTGTAACATGTCAATAGAAATTTTTCTGTAATTAAACAAACCATCAATTCTTTAGCATCATGCTAAATAAATTTTTAAACTGTTATGTTATGGTGAAAAATCACGAATCATATCACGAAATATTGCATCAATCAGTTAAATTACACAAATGTCAGGTAAACTGTTCGATGCACTAAATAAAATAATTCAAGAGAAATAAAATATTAAAAATAAAAGCAGCATTTCAATTTAAATGTTATAACATTCAACCGGTTTCTTTATTTTTTTTTTTGATTCAAGTTAAAAAATTTTTCAATTTACGTTAATTTTCATAATGGATAAAATAACTAAAATGATGTAATAGGTGATACTGCATCATTTTAATTATTTTACT